ACATTCCATTACCTTTTAATCCCACTTTCCCACAAATGTCTTGAAGCATTTTTTGTATCAGAGAACCCCAAACGAACTTGTTGCCACCTAGTGGACCCAACTCAGGGGTCCCTGTGTGCCCACGTTTAGGACAGACCCACAAGGCTCATGTCGCATGCCAGGTTTTCACTGATCTCATTTACCAGGGCACAAGGAACCTTTTCCTCTGAAGGTTTTCCGTGAAGACATGGTATCACGTGCATATTATATTGCACAGAGACACAGCAATTTCTCCTCTGGGCTCTAGAAGCATGTCACAGCGCCCCCAGTGGCTCTGGTGAGCATTACAACCCATGAACAAGTCTTACCTGTACTCCAAGGGTTAAACAGCAGGATAAAAGTCCCCACCAGGTAAGTCACGCTGTGGCCTCGGTCCTGGGAGAGCTGGATCTTGAGTGTATAGGGGCCAATGACGGCATTGGCTGGTGTGAAGAGGGAGACCTGGAGCGAGTTCTGGTTCAGGGTGAAGTCAAAAGCACTCCAGGCATTCCCCTGCTGGGCCTGGGTGAGTGAGAATGTGGCACGGGTTCCCAGTAGCTCTGTGGGCTCTGGTCCTGTAGGAGGAGTAAGATCCCCACACTCACAAATCTTTCTAGTGTGACTCCACAGAGCCTGGAACCGCCCCCCCACCTCCGCCCTTGCTCTTACCGTTTGTTAAACCGTTCTGTCTAAGGCTTCTACAGCCACTAGGCACCCTTGGGCGAGACATAAAAGATCTCTGGGCCACAGCTTTCTTATCTGTCAAATGGGGATGCTACCCACCTGAAAACCTTACCTTACAGTTTCACTAAGATAAATCTTAACACAGTGCTTGATATGCCTCAGAGGCCAGCCATTTTCCTATAGAGGGTGTGCGTAGTGAGTGTGGCTGATGTGCTTAAGGCTAACCACAAGGTTCGTAGTTCGAGTGGCAATCTACGTTGGGGCTTGGGGGGCGCTGAGGCTGGGGATCGGGCATTGACACCCCGGTGGAGCACAGTTCTACTCTGACGCTCTTCACGAGTTCAAAGTGATTTGATGGCAAAGGGTTCGCATGTGGGTTATTCTCATGCCTTTTCGGCTCCCTGAGATGGCCAAAAGCAAAAAAGCCCGGGGCCTCGGGGGTGGGGAGGTAAAACTCACCAGTCTCAGCCACGAAGGCGGTGTTGGCCTGGAGTGGGAAGCTCCTGTTGAAGGTCAGGGTGATGGTGAAGGCCTGGCCTCGGCGCACGACGAGCCGCTTCAGGCCCATCTCCCGGGTGCGGTGCTCCTTGTTGTTCCTGCGGCTCTGCAGGTCCACGGAGATGAGCTCCAGCGCTGCCGGTGGGAGAGCAGGGGGCGGCTCATGCCAGCTACTGCTCCAGTCGGTCTGGGCTGCCTTGGGTCAGACCCCTTCCCTGCTGTTGGTCCTCCTGCTGTGCTCCCCTCTAATACCAGGACTCAGCCTCAGTGGCCAATCCAGCAGACCCTGCTCACGACTGACACCCAGTAACCTCCGCACCCGCACCTACAGCCACAGCGCTCACGAGCAGTGGTGAGCTGCCAGCCAGTTGGCCCCTGACTCAAGGTGGCCACACCCTCAGCAGAGTGAAACCCTGCCAAGTTTTGCCCCATGCCCATGATTGATCAGGGATCAGACTGTTGTGGTCTGTAGCATTTTCTCTGGCTGATTTTGGAGGGAACTAGATGGTCAGTCTTTTCTTCGCTACTTTGTCTTCGCCTAGATTCTAGCCCCGAGAAGCTCCACTGAAACCCGTCAGCATCACAGCAACAATGCCTCCAGGACAGATCGGACACATGGCCAAGTTCAATTCCCAGCCGACCGATGCTCCAGAAGTGGGGGTGCCAGGAAGCTAAGTGTCACCAGGTGACCGAAATGGAGCGCCACAGCATACTCGTAACCACTTCTGTTGGACTTCTGTCTAAAAGTTACTCTTTGAGACTGCTGCTGTGGTAATGAGCACATTAGAATTTCTCTGAGTTAAGTTATTGAGCTAACAGGAGGCTGCGACCTCAGCTACAGGGCAAAACCCAAACAACAACAACAACAAACATCCTTGCTTTTGGATATGAGGGATGGGGCAGGGGACTCAGGGCTACTACAGGCTTTATCTTGGTTCCCAGCTGTGCTGCAGATAGAGGGTATGGGCTGCTCTCTGTGAGCCCCTAAAGCAGCGGTTCTCAACCTATGGGTCGTGACCCCTTTGGGGGTCGTACGACCCTTTCACAGAGGTTGCCTGCTTCATAACAGTAGCAAAATGACAATTATGAAGTAGCAACGAAAATAATTTTATGGTTGTGGGGTCACCACAACATGAGGAACTGTATTAAAGGGTCGCAGCATTAGGAAGGTTGAGAACCACTGCCCTAGAGTGTGGCTCAAAATCCACAAGAAAGCAGGCGCTAGAGGAGAGTTTCCCCAAGTGGGGGATACCACCCCCTGGTGGGAGGGAGCCTCTGCAGCCAATCCCAAACCAAAAAACCCAAACTCGCTGCCATCTAATCAACGCTGACCCATCGTGACCAGGAGGTGCTGCAAGAGCAGATGCCTACACTTTACCCTGGATTATGGGTGATAGCTCAGAAGTTTGTCATTGTCCGGGCAGGGGCCTTCAGGGAACTATAGAGTTCATGAAAGCAGACCCTCTATGAAACGCCCCTAAAGAGCTTTCACACTTTCTACACCCAGTGCCCTCCAGGGAGGAGGGCCACCCACTTTAGGAAACACTGCTCTAGAACGACCAGCCCTGCCTCCACCACCTTGGTGCCGAGACCCTGAGCAAGTCACTTCGTGTTTCTGGGTCTCAGTGTCCTTGCCGTCCACACGGGGACTATGAGATTCTTCTCTCACAGGAGTCACGTAAGGACGCACACACTTAGCACAGTGCTAGAAACAGAATAGGGCTCAGGGGCTGTTAGTTATCAGAAACCCTGGTTAAAGAGCTCGGCTGCTCACAGACAGTTTGGCAACTCAAACCCACCAGACCTCCATGGCAGAGAGATGTAGCAGTCTGATTCTCTCAAGATTCACAGCCCTGGAAACCCACAGGGGCAGTTCTGCTCTGTCCACTGCGTCACTGTGAGTCCAAATCCACGCAATAGCAATGTTTTGTTGTTGTTGTTGTTGTTGTTGTTGTTTGGTTTTAGTAAGGTATCTGAGTGGTGCAAATAGTTCCCAAATTTTGCTGCTAACTGAACAGTTGGGAATTCAAATCTATCCGGAGGTGCCTCAGAAGGAAGGCCTGATCTACTTCTGCAGACTCAGCCATTGGAGAAGCTATGGAGCACAGCCGTACTCCGACCCACGTGGGTCGCCATGAGCCAGACTTAACCCAACAGCAACCGGACAATGAGCAGTAGGAATAATAAAAAAAAATGCATTTGCTATCTTGCTGGCATTGTTTATACTGCACTTGACATAATTAGACCCGCTGCCTTCGAGTTGATTCTGACTCATAGCGCCCCTGTAGGACAGAGCACAACTGCTCCTTAGGGTTCCCACGTCTGTAAAGCTCTGTGAAAGCAGACAGCCTCTCTGTCTCCAGAAGAACAGCTGGTGAGTTGGACCCAGCACCCTGGAGGTTAGCCACCCAACCCTCAGCACACCCTTAAAATCCATGAGGACTCTCCCCTAGGACAGTGGTTCTCAACCTTCCTAATGCCGCGACCTTTCATACAGTTCATGTTGTGGTGATTCTCAACCGTAACATTATTTTCGTTGCTACTTCGTCACTGTCATTTTGCTACTGTAATGAATCAGGTGACCCCTGGGAAAGTGTCGTTCAACCCCCACAAGAGTCACGACCCACAGGTTGAGAACCGCTGCCCTAGTGTTAATTAATCTCAGTCGATCTCATTGGTGTGATTTGGAGGCCCCTGGGGACATCTATCAATGTCTGGAGACATTTGGGGTTTTTAAAACTTAGGGAGGGGCTGCTGCTGGCCCATGTCTCCAGAGAGCAGCTCGTGCTTCCTCCCAGGCCATTTGCACGCTTTGGGGGGTTGGCGCTTTCCACACAGCTTCCATCTGGTTTTTGGCTAAGTGAGTTCATTTTGAGCCTGTCTTTCCTACTCACATGGACCTTTTTGAATCTGAATCATTTCACCAAATGCTTTACCTCATCGTCTGTGAGCTTTAAACTTTCTTCCACACTTCTATTCACATACTTAGTAGATGGTTCAAAGCTTTAGGGCTTAAGTCAGTAATCAACAAGCTATCATCTGGCCTTTCTTCCATCTGGAAGAAAGCTTTTGAGACAAAGAGCCAATCCTGTCCCTCACACAACAGTTTAAAAATGATTTGAGAGTCATAAATATATTTTTATAAACAAATGAATTCACCATCATCTGAATAATTGCCTCTAAAAATGTTCAATTCTACTTCAGAGCCAATGTACCTACCGGAAGGTCCACATTTGACTTGCGAGCCATAGTTTGCCGACCAGTGATCTTGGCCATCAGGAAATACTCTTTGGAGTGGTTCGTTAGCTAGGTGGGACGCATCTGATTCTTTGAATGAGGCAACTGGACTACGTTTTAAAGTTTCTCTTACGCTCTTAGATTAAGCCCAGAGTCCATATGTTTGCATCTTTTCCACATGGTTGTCAAACATCTGACTGAAGTAGGGCATCCACAACAGGCCCTTGGCCCCAACTTTTAACACTAACTTTCCCTAAAACGGAAAGGAGGGTTATGCTGACTGGTTCCCGATGAAGCTGCAGTCCCTTGGTGATCTCTGTGCTCCTTCCTACGTTCTAACCATCAGTCCGTTTCATAACTGGATCTAGAATCTCTGCTCATCCCTGGTCCAAGTTAGGCACGGACTAGTGTCTACCTTCTAGCAAATGGTCAAGCACCCAACTACTGGCCAAAAGGTTGAAAATTCTGGCCCACCCAGAGGGGCCTCAGAAAAGAAGGAGGCCTGATGGTGTCCTTTTGGAAGGTCATCGCCTTCCTGGAAACACTGTGGAGCCGGTTGGAGTCTGACACCCTGCGGGGTCACCCGGAGTCGGTGGAATAGCCTCAATGGCTTGGTGTTTTGATACTTTTGTCTTTTCTAAAAGCCACTCCCTAGATCCCGTTGGTGAACCGTGTGTGTTCTAAAGTAGAGGGACTGAAGCTTTCATACCAGGACCTGCTGTGTCTTCGCGGAAAGTCGGCACACATTCTCAATGGCCCTTCCAACCTAAAAGACATGTAGCCAAGCACACGGGAGTCCTTCCGTCACCTGATTGGGCCAGCCTTCTCCTGGCTGAAAGCATAGTTCTGCAGGGCCACCAACATCATTCTTCCTTCACCCAGAGCTGATTCTTGACTTGGGAAGGAAAGAGGAGGAAGAAGAAGGAAGAAGTCTTCCATCCATGCCCATAGTTGCCGCGCCAGCCAGGAGAAGACTCATTTTCCATCAGAAATTCAGGCTTTTGAGTGTTGCTCCACTTAATGGAATCTTGCATTTAGCTCACTGAGACGCGTTCCATGTCAGAGAGAGTCACTTCAGAGAAGCAAAGGGAGTGCCTCCCAGGGAGGCGGAAAGAGAGCCAAAAGGATCAGGAAAAGGCTCAACAAAGCAGGAAAGGCAGCAGAATCAATTAGTAAAAGCACGTCAGCGCCCACAAAGGCCTTCTGATCTTGGCCACCGTCCCACCGGAGTTAATGACTTGAGCAAGAGGCGAGGAAACCCGACCACATGACGCCTGCTGCTTGTTTAACGAATATAAAGACAAGGATAGAAAGGATCAGACGACATCCTGGCGTATTATCAGCCTTAAAAGAGAGAGACATTAAAACAGCTGTCGGCCCGCACTGCGTTCAGAGGCGTGCAGCTCCCGTGCTGTGAGAGACCGATCCTGAGACAGCCTTGCTCTCCAGGCAGCTCCATCTCTCCTTGGGGGGCCTCGGCTCAGAGGGAGACACCACACAGGGGCTTTTCCTGGGCACTAACTATGATGCCCCTAACGCCACCTCATGGTCACTGGCCACCACAACTGAAAACGAATGGCCATCAAGTCCATTTTCATTCATGACAGCCCCATGTGTGTCGGAGTGAAACTGTCCCATCGATAGGATTTTCAAGGGTTGATTTTGGGGAGAAGAGATCACCAGGCGTTTCTTCCAAGGCACTTCTGGGTGGATGCAAATCTCCAGCCTGTCAGCAGCAGGGCATGTCAATTGCTTCCATTTTCTACAGGGCATTTAATACATTAAAAAAAAAAACTGTTGCCATGAAGTTGATTCCGATGCATAGCAATCCTATATAGGGTTTCCAAGGTGGTAAATATTGATAGGAGCAGATAGCCTCATTTTTCTCCAGGGGAGCAGCTGGTGGGTTTGGACTGCCAGCTCTGCAGGTAATCTCACACCTACCTGACAGCACCACTACGGTTCTTTGGCATACTTAATTAAAAAACAAAACAAAAAAACCCCTCAAAACTCACTGCCGTAGAGTTGATTCTGACTCACAGCAACCCTACAGGGCAGGGTAGAGCTGCCTTGTGGGTCTCTGAGATGGTCACTTTTCACGGGGGCAGAAAACATCGTCTTTCTCCGGCATAGCACCTGGTGGTTTCAAACGACTGACCCCGTGGTTAGCAGCTCAACACATAACCACTAGGCCACCAAGGCTCCTATGGTGTCTAACATTCACTCCATGGAAGCAGGGGCCTTGGCTGCCTTCTCGTCCCTGGTCTTGCTCATCCTCCCTCTGCCCCATGCCCCGCCTAGCAAAGCAAGGTGCAAAACCTCAGCTAATGATGGCTCGTGTTCACCGAACACTTACTACGTGCCTGGCACTGTTTGAGGCATGTACCTGCATGAGATCATTTGCAGGCTCATAATCGCTGTGATGTAGGTATTACATGATGTGAGTATTGCTCCTGGGGTGCAGGAAAAGTGGGGGGCAGAACAAGGATTCAGAACCATTTGGGATGATTCCAGAGCTTGCCCCCTGAAACTTCACAATCTCGGCCCTCCCTGGCACACCCCACTGCTGTCGAGTAGATTCTGACTCTGTCCTGTACGAGTAGATTCTGTCCCTATACCGATGAGAACTTCCCCCATAGGGTTTCAGACCCTGTAGAGCTTTACGTAAAAACACTTGCCATTTTTCTCTCAAGAAGCGACTGGTGAGTTTGAACCACTGGCCTTTTGGTGACCAACCCAACCTGAACTCACTACACCACCTGGTCTTTCCTGATAAATGCTCAGACACACTTGGTGAATGGATAGGTGCAGCCGCGAGGTGCCAGGGGAGTGATTTGGTAGGAGTGCAGTGGGAAAGGAGGGAAGGAGAGAGAGAAGTCTGTGAGGGTGCCGGGGACCAGCCTGAGGTGCAGCTGGACAGAGACCCACATGATGTGGTTGGATTCGGTAGTAACAAGGATGCTCATCCCCTGCAGAGGCGAAAACGTACCCCTTTCAGAGGGCACCTTATAAAGATGTATTACAAAACGAGAGCGAGGCTGAAAACACATTCCTCTGGCCCACAAATTCCTCTTCTAGGAATCTTTTTTAAGCACCACCAGCAGTTGTGCACAAAAGTGGTAAAGATGGGCATGATGTCCAACCCAACCCAATTAGTCTTCGGAGGCATTGAATATGAGATGCTCTCCCTGTCTCCTGACGCGGACAGCAGAGCAGAATGAAAAACACGGAGAGGTTGTTTGATGAGCTTCAACAGAGTAAACCAGACACCCTGAGAAGCATGCGTTCCAGAAAGATTCGCTTGAGGTGGTTAAAACCAGGGACACCTTCCCTTCCCTGTTTCTCTGGGTTTCCCAGCTTTGGCCTTGAGCATGTCTCCCTTTTGTGTTTGGGGGGAGAGTGTAGGTTTAACAACAGGCAGTGAAGAGCTCGGTGAGTATTTGAGCAGAGGAGTGGCCTGAACAAAGCTGCATTTTGGGATTAAGCCGGCTGTGGTATGTAGAAGACGAGGGTGGGGAGGACTGAGAACTCTGGCTAGGAAGACCTGAACAGGGTGTTGGGAAGAGGGATGGAGGCAGCACCTTACCTCTCACTGGAGGCCCTGGGCAAGGGCCAGGCTAATAAATAAATCCCTGTTGAAATAACCTTGACTTGCGGGAGTTCCGAAGGTGCGAGCTCCTTTGGATGAAGGCTAGTTTGGGCTAGTTGAAGGGATCCACTGCGGACCCCACTGTGCCAGGCAACAGGTAGAAGGAAAGGACGAGAAAGCTCCAGGCAGAGACAGTGACTGGCACGTTCTACACAGTGCAGCTGGCAGAGAGACATGGCACCTGTCAGGTGGACTCAGCTCCTTCCCTGCACTCATTGCTGTTCCTCCGCCCACTTTGAGGCCGTTTCTTTCCCTTTCATTACTTCCCTTTCAAAAGATGCAAAGGTGTTCTCTCCTTTGCTGTGTTTATTCTCAACGACAACAAAGTTAAACTAAGAACAAAACAAACAGACATACACAAAACAGTGAGAAGCCAAAATGGACTTGCCTACTCTTGGTTGGTGGGGGAGAGTTAGCCGTTGCAACTCTATAAACAGTGAAGTGTAACTCTCACCCTTGGCATTGGCCCTTTGGCTTCTTTAAAAGTCAATGTTTCTGGGATGCACAAAACTCACTGCCATTGAGTCAAATCCGACTCCTAGCGAATCTGTAGGACAGGGTAGAACTGCCCAGTGGAGCAGACTGTGATTCTCTATGGGAGTAGAAGGCCTCATTTTTCTCCCGTGGCATGGCTGGTGGTTTTGAACTGTCGACCTTGTGGTAAGAAGCCCAATGCATAACCACTAGGCCATCTGGAGGTCAGGGAACCAGAAGCAAACATATCTAGGTGACCATGTGTGTGTGAGACGGTATGGAGGTCTTCCTATGTGATGGGATTGCTGGGGAGTGTGTCTGTGCCTCTAAATGTATAAGAATAACGACGCCTTATAACCCAAAATCCAGATTCATGACTCGAGCCTGGTAGGCTTTCTACAGTGTGGGTCCAGTGCTTCTACCCTATCGGATCTCCCAAGAGCCCACAAGTCAACTCTACTTCACTCATTGTGCACACATCATGCCCAGCTCCAGCACCAGACAGACCCTCCCCTTCTCCCAGTCTCTAAGCATTCCCCCATACCACTCCCTCAAGCAAACACAGCCTCCACCTCCTTCCCAAGCATCTCAGAGCAAGATTATCTTACTACCTGTAGCAATCATTTGCATCTCAAGAACAGAAACAACAAAAACACAACTCCCTGCTCTGGAGTCAATGCCGACTCACAGCCAACGGAGCGGACAGAGTATGTCCGGGACCGTCCATCTTTTCAGAAGCAGAAAGCCTCATCTTTCCCCCACGGAGTGCCTGATGGTTCCCAAGGACAGACCTGGAAGTGAGCCGTGTAACACACAGCGCATCACGCCAAGTTATACCTAGCTGATATTTATTGAAGACAATTAAGCTCCAGGCAATAAAATGGAATGC